AAAGCAGTTGGAGCACAGGCATATCATCTACGAAGGAATGGCAGTGTTGGTGATTTATTTTTATCTCTCCTGCTGTTTAAAACGGATAGTTATCTTTGCTTCCCAGGTATCAAGTAGGTTAGAGAAGGGTAGTCTGCAGAAAGTATCTGTAGGTGGGTTGAAACTGCCTACTAATTTCAAATACTGTATAATTTAGTATTTCATACTTGATCTTTTCCCCGATCCTGCAAAGGAAAATAAGCAATTGATAAAATATTTCTGAATGCTTAAAAGAAAAATGCAACCCTCTGTTCTTTTCAGTTAATGACTCTACTGTAAGAGTTTTATAGCATTATTCAAGCCTTTAAAGTTAGCAGTTAAATGCTGATTTAATCTTCAGAAGGTCACAGTGTCTTTTGGAAGACATACATTTAAAACTTGTTTGGCTGGTTATTCCTTGTTCATTCCTGGAAACGTATGTGTGACTCACTATTTTGTAGGAGACACTACACGGTACTTATAGAAAATATTTTGTATTTTCAGTCTTCTTCTTAAAAATAATTTCTGAATTATATATGCCAAACTAAGTTCTATTTTCTAAAGCCTCTGGGATGGCTGAGTCTGAAGTAAGCAATTAAATCAGAAAATTCTGGAACAACATTCTCATAAATACCGAGGTCTGGAATCCCAATTACTGTGACAAAGTTAACATTATTTCTCCCTGCTCTGGGGATAGTCATTCTCTGGACAGGAGTCCCTGAGGCTGCAGGCAAGTGCACTCCGCAAGGCCACCAAAGGTCAGCAGAAGTGGCTGTTATTTGCTATTGAAAACCTTGCCATTTCAGTTTTTATCTGAATGATACCATAGATTTACCTTTTTGTATATGGGTACACAGATTTTAATAGGCCTTCAGGAATTTTACTTATCTACCACCAGGACGTATTTTGCACGCACTGAAATCTTTGTCTAAAATGCTGATTCATACCAATCAGAAATACACACCTGAGCCTCATTCCTGACAGTCTTATTTACACAGAAGGTCTGAGTGGCGAACTCTGGGTTAAGTTCTACATTATTAATTCTTTCCTGAGTACTGGTCTGTGTGTGCTTGTCAGACTCTGAGTTCCCTGAGGGCGAGACTCACATCTTACACATCCCTGTATCTGCACACTAAGCACTTAGCAAAGTACTTGGCACCAGTGAGGACTAAAAGAATGTTTATGCAATAAGTAAGAAACGAATACAACAACAAACCTATTAGCACAACCATTGATTAAGCACCTGCTTAAATTTATTGTGAAGAATAATTAGGTCAGTAGAAAACTGCCATTACTTGAAAACAATGAGTCTAGTTGCTTCCAGTACCTCTTCTTTCAAAACCGCACAGTATACTGGGAAGAACTTTCCCCTGGTAGTGTGAAGACAGACTGTAATTACAGCTCTGTCTCTATTGTGTCTTTACACAAGAAACCTTCAACAAACATAAAAATACAGTGTATTTTTTTTAAGATTTTATTTATTTATTCATGAGAAACACACACAGAGAGGCAGAGACACAGGCAGAGGGAGAAGCAGGCTCTGGGCAGGCAGCCTGATGCAGGACTCGATCCCAGGACCCAAGGACCCCAGGATCACGCCCTGAGCTGAAGGCAGACCCTTAAGCACTGAGCCAGCCAGGTGCCCTTACAGAGCGTATTTTTAAAAACTTTACCGGAACACATATTTTTGGCAAATTTCACCTGCTACATTTTCAGTATCCAGTTAAAATACAAGAGGCAGAACTATATTTCTATAAATAAACAAATGATTTCTATAAAGTTTACCTGACAGCTTTTGGAAACCAGGTGCATTTTACCAATACACCCCTCACAACACTGTAACACTTCGTTACTGTAGCTCATGTGCCTCTTACCAGCTACCTTTTCAGTTCAATTAGAATGATCTATTGAAATTTGTAATCCTAATAAACCATTAGTTATGAGCATCCTAGATGTGATTAGAACTGTGAGGATAATTTGGTGACCCATACCCTTCAGAATCCACAAGGCATTTTTCGCTGATTTATTCAGCTCCTGATATTCATGAGTTTAGAAATCATATTCAACTGCTCCCATTGGTATTTTCTCAATCTTTCTGATTCTAGAAAATACCTTCGATGATCACTCAATTTACTGAGCACTGTCTTCCACTAAGGAAAAGGGGTGAGGATTGTGAAAGATACAATTTACAGTTTTTTAATGCTGCAGGCTAACTGCAATGATAAAAATCTAGGTAGTCAATGGTTCTTAGCAGTTACACTCATTAACAGCATACTGCTATAGTTTGTTTAATGTTCCAGGCTGCATTTATTTAGAGGAAGACTTCAACCTAAGAGAACATGTTCAGGCATAAAAGTAAATATGCTTAAAAGCTAACCTGCCAAGACCCAAATTCTGACCTTCTAAAGACATTACTGAGGCAAGAAAAATCCTAAAATTAGTAACAAGGAACAGCAGTAACCATGCAGTGCTTAGCATGAGGAAAATAAAATACTCTTAACACTAAATGGTCACTTTTGAAATGATATTTTAACAGTACTTCAGTTATATTTAAAATATGCCTAAATATGACACCATCATGACAGTTCATGTCTTTTTTTGATTACATTTGATGTAAAAGACATTTGTTAGATTTGCCAAATCCTTTCCAGAAAAACTCAAAATTCCTGAAACACTGTATTAGCATTTCTCATTAAGAAAAACTATCTTTTGTGGGAAATGTAAATTTGAAACATAAAGTCTTCTTAAAAGTCCTGAACATTTTCCACATAGGAAAACTGTAAGCATACTTCTTCAGGGCTTTTAAAGCAATCAGCAAGGCAATGTTAAATTATCATGGCTCTCGAGAATAACAGAGGAGCACTGTACAGAAGACCCTCACATTTGTGGCTCTGCGTATTCCCTGTGGGCTGTGCCAACCCACTCTCTCCCCTGTAATGACTCTTTGTTTTTACTAAGTCCCAAAGGGCTGGTGAGAGCTCTGCAAAGAGAAGGGGGGGAAGGGTGGATGGAATGCAGCTGCAGGGTCAGAAACAATGCTGAGTCCATATATTTTGTTCCGAGTTAGAATAATAAAAAGGGGGCTGCGGGTGGGGGTGGGTGTAGAGGGGTAGAGGAGACAGAAAGCAAAGTAAGCAAGGTAGGGCCAAGTATTCCATCGCTCTGGGTCTACAGCCTCCTGCCCCTCCCCCACTCTACTAAAATCTAATAACCATTCATTTGGGTTAAAATTCGAACACCCATTAAGATTTAATCCTATCAGTCACTCACGTCTAAGTTATCTTTATCAGTGAACTACACCCAGGCAAGGAATGGAATAGAAGGGGGAATGGAGCTTGCAAAGATAAACTGAGGAAGCCAGGACGCACAGGAAAGCCTGGGGGAGGTAGGTAAGAGAATTCAGAAAAGGACACGCAAGGTCTCAAATATAAACTGCCAGCTTTACAATGGTGCCTGGGGCCTCTAGGGGGCAAATAGTGTGCCGGAGAAAACCATATTCTAAGACTGCTAAAAGCTGCGTGTGTCTGAATCAAGAGTTTGAAGCCTGTACATGTTGGTTTATCAATATTCCACCTAACTGATGCCTCCTAGTAAAATGTTCTCTTGCATTTCCCTAGCCTCTGTCTCCTGTGAAAATGGAGATTTAAGGGAAGAGGCAGATCCCAAACAAGGTAACAGCTGCTAGTGAGGGAAAAGCAGCTAAAACCTTACACTATTCTCCTAGGTCTTGACCTCTCATTTCAGATAACCCTTTACTGAAAATCCTTGGAGCCCTCCAGGGTTCATGGACTCAAGCTTGCCTCTGGATCATCGTTTCAGAGATTACCGATGCCATTAAATTTTGTGAGAAAATTTAAGAAGCCTTAAATAAACCACCAAAACTAATACCTCAAAAATAGTGCCAGCAGGTGCTAAGGACTACCTAACAAGCCATAAAACAAAACGCAGAAGAATGCTTGCTGTAATTAGGATCCCATTCATAAACACTCAGTTACTAGGGGAGAAAAAAAAAAGACTTAATTGTAAAGCTATCACACAGATAGTCTTCTGACATCCACACAAACACCTCCTTCAAGTTAGCATTATTTACTAGTACTCTTAAGCTGGTATTGAATGATATAATTAAAACTCTTGACTCTTCAAATATTTTCAAGTTATAAAGTTTAGAAAGACGGTACTGATTTACATTGAATATTTTCATTTTGTGGCATGATAAACAAAGATTTACAAAGGTAGATTCATAATTAGCAGGAATATGATCTCCCTCCTTCTGCTTGTCTTTTTTTCTAGACCACTAAAATCCATTTACAGATGTTCCAAAGTTCCATACTACAGTCAATATATAGACACAAATTCAGAAATGCATATTCAGGGAAGGAATGATGGAGACTTTTTATTAATACTAAACTCTAATAGTTAATAATTTTAAAATAATACCGACACTATTCCTATAAAGTTTATTATAAACAAAATTCATAGGTATATTTTGAGTTATTATTTATTATGCTTTTAAATGCAGCAGTAAGATACATAATATTTATTCTGTGTACTGGAAAAACTCCTATTTATACATTTCATTTCTTAGTATGTACAATAAAAAAAATTAAGTCTGCAGACAGCAAAAGTTCAATAGTAACAATAATCACATAATTATAACTTGCTGAAAATAATTATGGTTGCTTAACTGTGGCTAAAAAAATTTCTCATAATACTGTAACATATTTTACTTCAAAAAAGGTAAAAAAATGCCATTATTCATGATTTTGGGGGAAAACTACTCTCAATAAGTATATCTAAATTATTTTTAAATAAATCAGGAAAAGATAACTCAAATTTACATTTACTAAATTTATATTTAGTCATGAAGTTCACAAAGTACGAGTGACCTTATATTGAGGCACAAGTTAAATTTTAAGAGATTAAATATAATAGTATGTAAGAAGAATATTAGATTTTCTTGCTGAATCAACAAGAGTACTCACCCCTTGGAGCCCTTGGAACTGAATCGAAGGTCGAAAAGGAATTAAATTCTATTAAAAGAAATATAAGAAACAAACAGGTCAACCTTGTTAATGTGTCACAGAACTAAATTTTTAAACTTTAAATCTGTGCATCTGGTCAGTGCTATAGTCTATGGAAATATCTTTTCATTACGTAATTACCTAGGTTTATATATTATCATATTAAGATGCCTTAATTAGAGCAAGATCATCTTGTTGACATTTCTCTGAATACGCAACCACAGGTATATTTTGGAAGTGTACTCAGGTTTTTGAAAATGATGCAATTTGGCAAAAAAAATGATTAGTATATTAATTAAATGTCACATTAAAACACATTCTTGCTTAGTTTCTTTCTTTCTTTTTTTTTTTGCTTAGTTTCTTAATAGGTTTTTAAAAGGGTAGGGGGAGGGAAGAGATAATTGGGGGAACTTTACAAAACTCTAAAAGGATACTATAAATAGAAAATTAAAGTACTTGATAATGAACTGTGGTTTTCCAGTCCAGATTCTCACATTTTACCACAGGTTAGTTTCTAGTTGAGGGTCAAACAGGTTACCAGTTTTCTTACAAGATTTTCACCAGGAGAATATAATTTTTGAACGTTTTATTTTATAACAAGCTTTGCCCTCTTCATAACTTTAATATTTTATCATAGAGTTATGTATTTAGAAGAAATGCTGTAAGTATCTGCCATAATCCCAGTCATGATTTCCTGTATAGAAAGTCACCATTATGTTTCTCTATGAGAATGCTTTTTCCAAACTCCTTTGAGGCTGGTTATAATTTCCTCTCTGACTTTCTGCAACTCAGAAGCTGTCTTAAGTTCACCACTGGAATTTGAAATTCTTCATCAATTTCAATTCTTCTTGGTCAAATGCTAACTTTTCTCAATTTTCAAATTGCTCACTTCTCTGTCATTATCACAATTTCCTTCTACGCAGTCCTCTTAGCTCTTGTACCATGCCTTTCATTTCAAAAGCTAGTGTCCTTCACTTTGCTCTTTCTAGATCCACTCCCTCCTGGAGGCTCACTTCACCTGTTTGATGATGACTTTGAATCTCTGCTCTATTTCTCAACTCCCTTTCTCCACAGCCAAGTACTTATTACTATTACTGTCTAGGGACACTTTGCATTCGAAACTCAACAACAGCAAAACTGGCACCCCTCCCTCAACCAAAATGGCATCTCTCTCATACTTTTCTGGCAAGTGTACTTCAATCTTCTTGGCTCCCCAGGGTCACAACTTTAAATTTAATTAACAGTCTGTTTTTCCTTTCCCCCAACCATATTCTATTAGGCCATTCATTACACAATGCTAGAATTAGCAGAATTCTGAATCATAGATAATACAGCCAAGGCCTACCCCCCACAGGCCATGTGTCCCATTAATAACTAAGCTGGGACCAGAACCCAGGACTCAATCCTCCTATTCTGCGAAGCCGTTTTCTTTTACCTTGTGCTCTACACCATCTGCTCCGGGAGATTCAAGAGTATGGAGGCCTACTCCTTCATGCCAGAGTTCACATTTTAGTTGAGGAACATGTGAGAATGATTAAATACGAGGCTAAGTGCTACTGGGAGGTGCAGAAAGAATTCTCAAAAGGAAGACTATGGGTTAGAGGAAATACTAGAAAAGCCAAAGGGCTTATGGAAAAGATGGTCCTTAGAAGCAATTTTGAAAAGACAAACTCCAGGGAAAGGGAATGCCCTGAGCCAAAAAGCAAGGAGACAGAAATAGACGCTGTGTGAGCAAAGGGCAGGTCTGTGTCTGTGTACAGATTTCTTTCACACTTGAAACACAACACAAAGGATGAGAATTGGACCTGGCGATCCCTGCCTAATCTTTCCTTGACCTCAAAATTTGTCTTCAGTTTTAGTTTCTATACACTACAGAATAAATAGGACAGTAATTTAAATTTTAGATCTCAGGATTTCAAAAGGTTTATCACCCTGTGAAATAACCCTGCCCTAATCTCCTCCATTACCCCCTTAGGGATGGCCTTTAAGTCTTGCCTTTGACGTGATCAACAATTGGAGGGCCTTCTAATTTTTGGAATAACAAAGTGAGCTGCTGAAAGAAGTGTTTCAGGGAAAGCAGCTCTTTCCGTCATGTGTAAGAAAGAGGGAAAGAGATGGATTGGGGCTAGGGAAAAGGATTAGACATTAGCTCCAGCGGATGCTTTATTTAGAAATACTCTAGTGATAAGGCCTAAATTAGTATGATTTTATCCAGCGCAAACAGGAGGTGGGGGAATAGGCTGACTTTCTCAAGAAAGAATGATAAAATGTGCTGAAAGCTTGAGTATCAGGCATCAAAGAAAAATGAAGCAGAGGTGGCTTCATGGCTCTGAATCATCATTTTTGGCAAGTCAGCTCCAGATTCCCTCAAATTAGGCTCTTAGTCTCTATTTTGAAAACCTCTGGACTGTTTCAGGCCCCTATCACTGAGCACCTAGATAAAGGCCTTCCTTCCTCCCCTCAATTCCTTCCAAATACTGCCCATTGTTCAAAGAGCTAACAGAGCCTCTCTCGGATACCATCCCAGCATGTCACACAGGCTGCAGTGGGTTCCATCAAAGCCAACCAAAGCCGTCCACGTGACAGGACTAACCAAATTCATCTTCTACTTCTTTCAACTGTGCCTCAGCTGTTGTTAACCCTTTTTGTTATGTAAACATTTTCCTTTTTTTTTTTTTTTTAAGATTTTACTTTTAAGTAATCTCTACATCCAATGTGGGGCTCAAACTCACAACCCCCAAATCAAAAGTCGCATGCTCCACTGACAGAGCCAGCCAGGCACTCTTTCCTCTATTTCTACTTCCCTTCTTTCCTTCAAGCTGGTATGCCTTCTCAAACACTATTTTGTCAATTCATACTAATAACTTACTTAACATTCAAGTTTAAGATCAGTTTCTTCAGGTAGGCCTTCCTTTGGAAAAATCAGGAATCAAAGGCTCAATGTGTTTAAGGCAGGTAAATGTTAAAGAGACTGATGTAAAAGCAACAAGGACTGGCAAGTACCTGGAGAATAAATGCCCACCTGAGAAAGGATTCAGATTTTAAAATATTAAACCTTTCACAGCCAAACCAAACATGGATACCACTATTTTGCTCTCACCTATGCCCACTTTGAGTTAACTCTTGTCAGCTGCTGTTTTTCCAGATGCCTGTCTAGGATTCCACTACACTGGAGGTGTATTATTTTCATAGGTTGTCTTACTCCTAGTTATTATGACACAGAGGAGTCTAACACATATTTAACTTAAAGTATTTATCTACATTATGCTCATCTAAAGAAAAAAGTGATTGTAAAATCATTCTGGCCATATTCTTTTTGTACTACTTTATAGCAGCATATTACTATATACATATACTTTACACATTACTATTCATGGTTGTAGACAAAATAATACAACCACACTTCACTTTAGTTTAGGGACTTGTAAGAGTAGCTTTGACTTTAACCAGATTTTTTTGTTTCAGGACTTGAATTTAGAATCTAACCTTCCAATATGCTTACAGTTCTATCTCTGTTGTTTGATTCCTCAACAGAAATGATCATTTTTGTTTACATAGTTTTGTAATGTACAGGGCATTTTTATATCCATTGTCTCTAGTGAGCCTCCTAAAACCAGTCCTGGATGGTAGGAAGGCATCATTATCACCCATTTCAGAGGGAGATAAACGAGTCTCTAACAGGTAAAGGGTATTGTGGAGGAACATCAAACTAGTGATTAGGAAAGCTGGACTTGAAAGCCCGACTTGAAAGCCAGCCTCCGAAGTCCTAAACACAGAACACTTTCCTTTCTTGCCTCTGTAACAGGTTACCTCACAGTGCTGAACATTTAAAAGTCCTTAAATGCTCATTCAATTCTGGCATTTTGTTTCTTTTTCTTTTTTGGGGGAGTGGGGGAGCATTTTGTTTCCAAGGAAAATGAATTTCAAAAAATGATTACAATTTCCAGGCTTCAGTTTCTGATTAAATAAAAACTAAACAATAACTTTTTTTTTTTGCTTTAAGGATCATGTATAAGGAATATGTATGTTATCATTCTTCATTTAAAAAGTAATAAAACCCTCTCTATGGAATAGTTATGCATGCTTAGCCAAATAGGACATACATACTAAGATCACTGTTACTAAAAAACTCCTTTAAGATTATCTGACAACCCAGAAGAGAAAAATACATGAAAGTCCAATGCTTCATTGATTTTAATCCCAATTTTAGACAAGAAGATGTTACTAGTTCTAGAATGCTTTAAAAATGCACAAGAGACAGCTAGAACTCTATACCACTTATTATGCATCTGACCACTGTGTTAATGGGATAGCTACCAGGAATTCTGAAAGTCAATACCAATATGAGCAAATGTTTCATGCATGTTAGCTCTTTGTCTAAATGTTCTTTAGTCTAAACATGACCTCAACTGATCATATATATATATATTTAATTCAATTCTAAAAGATAATGTAATTACAGGTGATAAGGACCCGTATTTTAAAATAAATGTTTGACTTACTAAGTACATTCCTATTACAAATGAGTTTCAACAAGGGCTTCAAATTTTGATTTTTAGCTTTAATTAAATATTGCACCAAATAGCTCCTTTGAAGATCAAGTAATTCTAGAGTTTAACTGAATAGTAGTTGAGCTCTAAGTAAGATAGTGATCTAGTATCTTCATCCAGCAAGAAACACAGCACAGACTGAATGAAACTGACTAGGGAAACTCCTTTTGACAAATGCTTCAACAACCTGATAAAGGTGTTTTGTAGTCAAAAGGTTCTGTTCAACTCTTAGTTGTTTCACTGTTATTAGAGTTCCTTGAATTAACTCTCTGATCTCTTAGGAAATATAAGACATTCTTAAGCATAGAAGTGTGGGCAATACTAAAATGCTCAAAAGTGTCATTACACTTTTCACATTTGCCATTACAAGCCAATTCTACTGCAACAAAAATTGCTCTATGACCAAATAAATCTATGTCCATTTATTTCCAGAAACTATTCCTCACAATGTATCAGGAC